TATAATCCCAGCTGTCAATGCTCGGTTGGGATGAGAAGACTGAAGTCCAGCACATCTGGAGAAGGTCCAGTCAGGTCGGAGAAGGTTGCCTTCCTGTATTTGGTGGTTGCGATCCCAAGTGTCATTCTTCTCATCTTGCAAAATTCTGTTGAAATCTCCCTCTTCCTTTCTCCAGATTAAGCAACTTCTCCAAAGATAAGGCACCTGGTGGAGGAGGGAGGGGGAGAGCAGGATGCCCGCGATGCCAAGCCCTCGCCCTGAGAGCCGTTCCCGGGGTCAACGCAAAGCAGCCTCGTCGGGCTGTGCTTGAACCCAGGCGCGACCTCTAAAGAAACGTGCAGGGCGATTTTGTTCGCTTCCCAGGCGCAGCAGGACTACATCTCCCAGAGTGCCCTAAGTGCTCCGCCCCGCCGGCGCGTCCCAGTCCCCGCTCTCCGCTCGCTTCTCGCCTCGAGGGAGGCAGGAGGACGACGGAGGCGCGTGGAGACGGACTCCGACCGCAAGCGCTTCTTCGAGGCACCTCGATGGAGCCACCTGGGACGGGCAGCGGCGCTTTGCTCTCGATGGAGTCAAACCTCTGGAAAAGGTTTGTGAAGAGGGCAGGAAGGGCTGATCAGGCGCTGCCTCGAGATGAAAGGGACAAGAGTTTCGTCTGTACTTGAGATAAGCCCCGGGGACCCGCGGCGAGGAGGGGACGGTCTCTTCCCTTCGATCCGAACGCCTTCACTCACCCGATGACCCCGGCTAACCCGATTTAGCCCATGTTCTCGGTTTATATAACAAAATACACAACCTGAAATAGCAAAGCGGACTGGATTTGCCCCGTACGCCAAGACGGGGCGTGGGCGTGCGGGGGGGACACACACCTCGGGATAGAAGATACCAAGGGTGGCAGATTGGCTCTGATCAGCTTCAGCGTGTTGTGTGAACGTTGACCTGCTCTTTTGCACCTTGTTGTTGAGAGGCATAAATGGCAAGCCGGTTATCCTGCCCCCCAGCCCCAACACACCCATACTTTTTTTTCCCCCCAGGTGAGCGGGTTTTGCATTTGCTTTGTTTCTCTTATTGCACTTGGAGGAAAGCTCAGATCTGCTCCTCTGAACCATCCAGGCTCTGAGAGGTAATTTCATTGCTAGCGTTTCTAATCAGAGCTGGAGATGGGCTTCCAGGAAGGGCGGCTCTTCCTCTCCTGGGATTATCAGATTTCCACAGGAGAACACAGATCCTAGATGACTTGAGCTCCGAGGAACTTGCTGGCTTCTTTCTGATTACATTTTGCATTTGAATCTGAGTGAATTTGAGATGCTAAGTCTGAGTTTGCCCTTTTGGATGGTCTTTTGCAGGGGGCTGATGTTTTTGCCCTTGAGTGCTGGACCTGGTGAAGGATCTGTGTGACTCGGCTTTCTTTTCTTTTCAAAATTTGCAAAGGGTTATTTCTAAAGTGGATTAGAGTTCCTAACTGATTTAAGTTAAGCAGAGTTTAGCTTTAAGTGGCTGGTTAAAGCCTTCACACTGGGTGTTCCTCATACACTAGCATAGACACTGGATAAAAATCAAGGTAGCGACTATACAGTAGTCTCTGTTGGAGTTCTGCTACACTTTCCTTTGTCTCCGATGAAGCTGTTTCTCCTCTTCCTCCACCCACTCTACCCCTTTGGCAATTGCAGGTTTAAAAAGAAGGCATCTCCAAGTGAATTTATTTAACTGAGTGGTGGTGGCTGAATCCGAAGCCAGCAAAATGGGAGCCAGAGGTCAGAAGTTGTGTGTGAGGCCATCGCATGACAACTGAGGTTGCAACTGGCTGCATTTGCCGAAAATACAGAGTTGTAAATGGTAAGTTGGGCTGGTGCTACGAAGCACCAATGGCCTGCATGGAGATCTTGCAACTCACCAAAGAAGGAGCTCCATCAGATGTGTGCCACCATGTAGGCTGGGGCTTGCAGGCTACATCATGTCAGGGCCACCTTGACAAAGATGGGGCAAAGAATAGATTGATAGCTATGACCACTGAATGCTGTGAGCAGCATTGTAAAGCTGCTATACAAGTAGCCAAGGAAGAACCTGCTCAAGCCCCCCTTGCCCTCCTTGCTGTATCATCACTGTCCCCAGAAACTACAGCAGCTGGTCAGTTCACCTGTTCCCCCAACTTTTCAAAGGAAGACAAGGAGGCTGTCTCCAGAAATGCCTGTTGCTGCGAATCAGAGACATCTTTCACCTACGTGGATGAAAACACCAACCATCTAAACCACACAGGGAGTCTTGCACATCAGAGCTATTGCCAAGACCAAGAGTTCCTTCCCCATCCTGACCCTGACACAGAGATGCCTCCAGAATGGCCCTACGATCCACCTTCCTTAGTTTCGGAGGAAGAGGATGATGCTGGCTCAGAAGCTGCTGGTGGAAAATCTATTGATTACAGCTTTATCAGTGCCATCTTGTTCTTGGTCATTGGGATTTTGTTGGTGATTATTTCCTATGTGGTCCCCAGAGATGTAACTGTGGATCCCAGCACAGTGGCAGCACGGGAGATGGAGCGCCTAGAGAAGAAGAGTGCCCGGATTGGGGCTCACCTAGATCGGTGTGTAATTGCTGGGCTCTGCCTCTTGACACTGGGGGGTGTGGTGCTGTCCAGTTTACTGATGCTGTCAATGTGGAAAGGAGAACTCTACCGGAGGAACAGATTTGCAGCTTCCAAGGAATCAGCCAAACTGTATGGATCTTTCAATTTCCGAGTCAAATCCTCTACAAGCGATAATATGGAGTTATCACTTGTGGAAGAGGAAGCTCTTACAGTAACTAGTTAGCCTGGCCTTGATCTAATGAAGCAGCAAAGATGGGAGTAGGGGATAATTTGCATTAAAAGGAACAAAGGAAGCTTAAAATAGCTAGCATTACTGACAAGAGCGCCTTTTCCAACACATTAAAGGAAATTTTGCATTATAAAGATGTGTAATATTGGGCAGGGAAAAAGAAAAGAGATAATGTTCAAAATAAGTTATACTGGCTGTAGGACAGTGTATAGCCTTCTTGGTGTTCATAGGAAACCAGCTGTGGTGAAGCACATGAACTTTGAAGGAAGTTCCATTCAGAAGTGTGATAGTCAGCGCGTGATGGATTCCAGGTTGGAAGGGTGATACCACATTAAATTGTCTGCATTATCAGACTATAACAGCAGTTTCATTTATTTATTTAGCCACTCATTCATAGGATTAACATCCCAACTTTGGGATAAAATTGGACCTGCTTCCAATTTTATCCTCACCCCTTATCCTCTGAGGCTTGCTCCAAAGTCAGCTAGAGCAGTGTTCCTCATCCTTGGGAACTTGAAGATGGGTGGACTTCAGGTTCCCAAGGATGAGGAGCACTGAGCTAGAGAGTTTCCATGATTGAGAATGGACTTGAACCTTGGGTCTCCTTGGTCCTAGTCTAGTGCCTCAGCCACTACACCACAAGGGCTGCTCTTGTAACCATCCGACAGCTTTTCAAGGCAATGTGGGAGCTTGTGATGGAATGGAATTATGAAGGCCAGGCGCAGGGAGATAAGCGTTTTCTTAGTTCACTGAAAGAGCGTGGGAACTACAAGAGGATGAGGCTGGCACCTCCCTGAGGAATTCATGGTGTTGTGGCTGGCTTGCTTGGGAGCTGGGGTTTCAGTCTGGGAAGATTCTTGCTAGAGGTGGTAGCTAATAAACAAAGCTGAACTGATTTTGCATTGTCTCTTGGAGTTCCTTGGGCTAAACCTGACAGAGCTGCCTTTATAATTAGCTGCAAAGTCAATTTTGTAGAACCACTTCAGGGCATTGGAGAAATGAAAATGGTGGATCTTGAATCTATAGACTTACTCTTTGTTTCCCAAAAAGTGATGCTATGCTGGGGACACTGGAGGAAATTGAAGTGGCAGTGTGGAAAAATTGTTTCAGAAAAGTTAGGCAAGATATTGTGAGTCTTGCTGGGTTGTTAGGATTCTAGCAGCTACCCCTGAATGCTGGATTCTGTCAGTGGCCTGAAAATACATTATATGGGTCCTCTGTTCCATTGCATAGTGTCTTAAATGTATGAATAGGCCATCTCAGATTAGTACCATATCATTGCAGAGCTTTTCAAAGAAGTCAGTGACTATATTTGCGTACCATGCTTAATTTGGTTAGTGTATTAACTTTTTTTCTCATAAATTAATCGGGCAGGCTGGGTTGTGTAGAAAGTCAAGATCAGTTCTCTGTCATTCCAGAAGACTGGACATGAAATAATGAATTCCAGTTACAGGAAGGCAAATTCAGATTGAATATTAAGGGGGGCGGAACTTAACTATTAGAGCAGTTGGAAATTAGAATCAGTTAGCCAGAGAAGTAATAGATTCCACTGGATGATTTATTAGAGATGCTTTAATTTGGAATGCTATATTGGTGGGGGGGAGGGGCGGGGGATAGGGACTCTGTGGACTCAGTGAACCTGTCCAACTCTATGATTCTGTGACCAGGCCCAACTTAGCATCTTGGACAAATGCAGCTGTTAGTTCTTTAAGTGACTTTGATTGGATTGTCAGCCAGCCTTAGTAGAGAAGACCAGAAAAGACCTCAGGAAAACTAGAACTATACTTTATTGAGAGAGGCTATAGTAACATGATCTTCTAAGTCTGACTGTGCTATCCCTCTCCTCTTTCCTACACTTCGGTGAATCAGAGAAGCATTTGTTTGAACCACTTCCAAATATTATCTTACTTCCCAGCACTTAAATAATGTTTCTGCCCTCTTTGCCTAGATAATGGTTCTTGCATATTTCTATCAAGGTCATCTCCTTTACTCACTACATGGGTGAATGCATCCAGTTTGTACTGTATGTTCAGTAGGGTGAGCATGAAATGGAAATTGTGTTTTGTTTTGAACCTGGAACAAACACATTTATTTCTTGGAAGTTCTGCCAAACTTCTGGTTGGGATGTAGTTTGGCAGAACCAAAACCTGGAATAGATTAAAAGTTCCAGATTTCAGTGGAAACAAAAGCCAGACAAAACTTACAGGGCAAGTAGGGCAAAGTTAGAGCACCTTTGCTTTCCTCCACATGGCCTGTGTACTGGCCCACCCACCAATCTTCCCAGCACCTTCCTTTCCCTACCTCTCCTGATGCTGTGTTTCAAGCCAGGGACATTGGTGATGGCAATAAGGGAAGATAAGGAAAAGAGGGTAGACAGCCTAACTGGATATGTTCATTTGAAGTCAAGGACAGCACTGCAACTATCCAACCAGCCACCTCCCCCCTCCCCCCAATCTTCCCATTGCCTTTCCTACTCAGCTGTTGTGCCCACTGCCACCCACTGTCAGTACCCTTGGCTTTATCCCACTCTTCCACCAAGACACTTCTGCCTAGAACACACATGCTTTGGCCTGCATACAGATGTCTGGAAACCAGCTGGTTGAGGCACATAATAGTTCATATACAGAACATTATGCACAGTTGCCTTTAGTAGCAAGACATCACGTGATGAAGGGCAGGTTACCTGTTCATGTCTGCACCAGACTTGATAAACTGGCATAACTCAAAATAAACAGGACTGAACAAATATAATTTCAGTGGGTGCTGAGAAAGCTTTTGATATGGTTTCTTGGGAAGTTTTTGAGGTGAGTTTTGTATAATTTTGGATTTTGGAGTGATATACTTTATTCAACTCCTAAATAATAGATGATTATTAGTGATGGGCAGATGGGTATGTGCACATCACTAAAAAAACACTGCCTGAGGAGTAACGAATAATCTAATGTGGGATAGCATTATTGAATCAGTCTCAAACTGTAAAACCTGAGATGCTATCTTGGCTCTTGTATTTGCAATAGCCCATATGCACATAATAGATTAGCGCTTACATTTGCCCAAATTTGATGGCTTCCTATTCTTCATCTAAACCAGCGCTTTTTAAACTTGGCAACTTTATGTGTGTGTGGACTTCAATTCTGGCTGGGAAACTCTGGGAGTTGAAGTCCACACATCTTAAAGTTGCCAAGTTTGAAAAACACTGATCTGAACAGTCATCCTGATGTCTTCCAAATATAAGTCCTATAATTCTCCAGTCCTGGTAAGGCACCATATTTGGAGGACAATGGATTTGGGGAGAAGATTACTAGAATCTGGTACTCACAACAGTTTTGATACTCAGAACATGGTGCTTTCTTTTTTCTGGTAAAATACTTTCTGTGGCATTTTTTAAAATCTCACTAAATCCATAGTTCTCTCTCCATCCCTCTCACTTCTCATAAAACATGAATAGTTCTCATTCTAAAACACATAAATCATAATAGCATTCAAAGAGATTTGTAGCACAGCTTCCATTTCTGCAGATATGGGAACTTGTTGGAATGAAGGGAATTTTTCCAGCAGTATGGCCCATTTAGAGCAGATTTATGCACTGTGCTTTAGGAAGGTGAAGATAGCTACTTCAGAAGCGTGTGGAGATGGTTCAAATAACAAATCCAGTTCACATTTATCAGGACATTCCAATGGCCAGTGAAAATGGGATGGATACGTACCTAGCTTCTCATTAGGCTATTCTCTTTTGAGATAAGTAATGTTATGCAAAGTACAGAAAAGAGTAAGAAATAATATAGTAAGCCAGAAGAGTTAAGGCAAGGTGAGAAAAAAGGGAAATATAGCTAAATTTAGTTTATACTGACCATTCATATACTTCTTTATACTTTTCTACCCTTGCAAATCATCTTTCTTTCTATCACATTCCTACATTACTTCATATATGGTATTTTGTTCTTTAAATTTCTCATCTCTCTCTTTTTCAGGATCTCATCAAATTCATCAACCACAGCTTACACATTCATCCCCTTCTTGACCCATTGACTTTTCCTTCATATATTTGTTCTGTGATTCATTCCTCATTCATTGATTCACTCTCTATGATAGAATCGCTTCAATGTATGTGTTTCATACTTGTCACTCACTTTGGTATGTAATCCACATTTATTCATGTTCCTATCTCTTTTTCATTAAACCACAGACACTTTAAAAAGCCCATTTACCTTTTTTTTTTTTTTGACATACCTCAAATCTCACTTATGTGTAACAAAGTGGACAGAAGCTTCTACACAGCCATTTTCACTTTATTTCAACACACAGATCTCGCAACAGATCATGTATTAAGATTGTGCATCTTAAAATGTCTCCATCCATCTTCCCATCTTTAATAAGCTTTCTACCAAGTTATACAAATTCATCTACTTGAGTTTTTCACCATTTATATATAACTTACAGTCATTTACTCCATGTTTTCTGTTAAAACAATTACCTTAGTCTTTGATGTTAATTTTCAGATTTGCAGTTGCATCATATAATCCATCCAATATTCAGCGCAAATTGTTTGGGTTCTCAGTCTATGCAGCATCTGCATACCAAACATATGCATAATTATATCCCCAACCAGCACACTTCACAAGTGTTCCATATACATTTGTCCATAAATACTTTAAAAAATCAAGGTGATACTATACAGAAACAAATGTTTCCAGTGGCTTAAGCCAAAAAAAAACCAAACAAGTGCCTCAATTGAAGGGAAGATATAGGCTGCAAAACCAAGAATACAAAGGGCTCCAGGGCTCCAGCTGATGTAGGGCAGGACACAGCTCAGTAGCCTGATACTGTGGGGATGAAGGAAATCTCTTGAAGCTTTCTAAGTCAAGTTACTTGACGAAGATCAGGCTGTTTAACTGAACAGTGCAAATGTCATGCTATGGAGGATGCTAAGTGCTGGTATTTAAAACAAAAGACATAAGGAGGGTGTCCAGATGGTATTATAATTAGTTTCATAATT